TCTATATTTCGAGATAAACAAAGTAAAATCATGGATGGGCTCAATTCTGTTATTAGGGCTCAGGGATCAAAATTTTGGGGAAAATAGGGCTCAGGGATCAAAATGAAGGCAAGAAAATAGGGATCAGTGGGCCCCGGATATACCATGTTACGACCCTAAACAAGCGTTTTTGAGAGCTCCTTTTTACCTAAAATTGCACGTTTGGCACCTACACTTAAACTCATATGATAATGCTGATATTTTTCCCACGGGGCAAAATCTTGGTATGCTTCGTCAAAATAACGTACATTTGTTGTTTTTTAAGCCATCTTAGGCCTATAAACCGGCATAAAATGTCATAATATACATGTAGGAATTCTTCATCTGCTCGTATATTATGCAAATTTAAAAGCTCATTTACAGCGGGGTTGTCGATTTCAGCAATTTTCAAAATCATAAAGAATACAATTCACTTCTGGTCAAACGAAGTCCGTTTTGAGTTTGGAGTCTCAGCAACCAAAAGGCTCTTTAATAAAGACTGAATTGAGCTCAATTTCCTTTTGGGTTTTCGTCATGGTCATATGTTAATTAAGATTGTTGTCACGCAATGAAAGCGGAAGGAGAAAGCAGGTTGGTGCCTCTTAGTCAATGTAACAGGTGAGCGTTATTACGGCTCGATTCGAGGCGATGTCACTTAACGAAAGAAAATATTACACTGAGAGAGCGAACTTACAGGGGCACCCAACGAGAATATAGTTCAAAACCACTTAAACATAGCATTGTTAAACGTATTTTAGTATTTAAACGGTAGATACAGGCATATTTTTATCTAAAAAATTTTTCATCTGTTCGGATTTCCTAGTGATCCGAAAATTATAGGGATCAAAACTTACCTTTTCGAAAATTTCAGCCAGCAAAAAGGCTTCCGAAAATTCTAGGTGGCCTTTTTAGGGTAAAAATCCGTTAAAAATAGGCAAATATACCATTTTTTGGATGTTCGAAAATCCTAGGAGAGGCAGGCAAGCAAGAAATTTTACAACAAATGTTTCGAAAATTCTAGATCTCAAATCGTCTTCCGAACAGATATTCTTCCGAAAATTTTCATTGGGTGCCCCTGAACTTACTTTGCAGCGGGCTGGGTATTTTGGTAAAACTGCCCAGCAAGGTGAAAAAATGTTTGTATGTCCGATACATCGTGCGAACCTAGGGAAGGACTGGGGTAATCCAACTGGCCGCACTGAATGCCGATATCCATTTCTGTGAAATATCTGTTCGGAGAAGCAAAATTGCCCAGAATTTTCTGTAGCTTGAGGAAGACTAAAAATTTATTAGATGACCGTTCCACGCATGTACATATTTTGAAGCTAATCTAATAAATTCCCACGGTTTTCTGAAGTTTAATTTTTCCTATTTCACACCCCAGGTTAAGCTGTTTTTGGTAGAGAAAGGAAACCTAAAATTCTCGGAACCGAAAATGCGATACAGAAAGGAATCAGAAAAATCCTCACTTTCGTAAAATTTGAAATTGCAGCTAAAATTTTCGGGAAAAAAGACTCACGGTTGCCCTAGTATGACCCAACAGATAAAAGTTTTTTTTAGCGCCACTTGGAATACATTTCTAGAGATCTAAAAGTACTCTGGGTAGCCTAAAAAGTGTTCTCAATCCATTTAGGAGGAAACCGTCGTTGGGTGCCCCTGGCATATAATAGGAGTTAGGATTTTTTTTCTGGTAATGAATCAATTTAATTACAAGCAATGTGGCACTTTACGTGTTCTTGGGCGTGGACTGTTCGATTATTGATGGGGGTGGGGGCTGCATTAATTTTGGCTTCTAGATAAAGTTGTATATATGTATGTATACAATAGAAGTAGACTGATGGGACTGGATTATATCTTGAACATTTATTGCTACTCAGTGAGTCATGCCTCTTGCGAGGCGAATCATCAGGTAAAACAAAACAATAAATGCCAGGCGTGGCGTAGGTACGTGGCGCGTCGTACTTAAGTGATGCTTACAACATGTCAAATTTGCGACAAGAACTAACCAAGTTAGGACAGTGTTTAGTAGAAATTTCTTTGAGTGCCTGCAACCTGAGATCAGTTCATTTCTATTGTCCAGGGTAGACATTTCAGGTTTACAAATTATAAACAGCGCAACGAGCCACGCGCAACGCCTAGTATTTACGGTTCTGTTGTACCTATATCTTTGATTGTAACCGTTAATTTTGGCAGTTGCCTGATGATTACCTCGCAAACTGTAACTGAACTGAAACTCTGGCTAGCAACAAATTTTCAAGATTTAATCCAGTTTCATCAGTCTACTTCTATTCTGCTCTAGGTTAACTATTGAGCACTTGAATATATTTATATAGATATTTGCGCCTTATAAGTTTTTGAAATCACCTTATAAGTTTTTGAGCACTATCGATGAGGACACCACTCTGGCACTTCGTTGTATGTATAATATATATTATCCTTCCAGCCCTGTAAAATTCTTTTTTAATCTCGGTGTCCTTGTCCTCCCCCACCCCCTATCAATAAGGTAATGGTTCACCCTTTATTTGTTTATGCAAAGAAAGGGATCGATACGGGAGGTATATTGCGTGACAAAAACGCAAATTAGCATATGACTGAGGGCGTGTATGGGACAAACGTTCAATCTTACCCGCACTCGGAAAAATATTACAACAGACATACCCTTCACCAAACTTAAAGTGATTCATAATAATTTCTCAAGAGCTACACGAGAAAAGTCACCCGAGGTGAGAGAATCCGACATGTTGAGCATAAATGAAGGATAAACACGGATGTGGGAATTCAAATTCAAATCATGTCAAATGCTCGAAACGGAAAAAAAAAGAAACTCAAATGGAATATGAGATAAATTTCTATTTTAAAAAGGGTATCCAGTTGCTTAGTTTCCAAGCTGAAGATTGATTACATTTGAGAAGAAGTTAATAACCATACGTAGTTTGAGATTTTAACATGCTGAAATGGACAACCTGTCTAAAAACAAGCACGATTTGCATATCCGACGGGTTGATCAAGAATGTCAGTTTATGGCATTTTTTTCGGCTTTCATTTATACAAACTTAAAAAGACTAGTGAAAAGAAAACACATGTTGGTAATTTTGAGGATACACAACAACATTCTCAGCTACTGAGAAAATATCTACTAAATTAAAGTCGTTGTGCGTGAACCGTTAAGCGGGCAAATCTATGCAAATAATGCCGAAAAGAGGCTCTTAAAAACGTTTGATCACGTCCAACCCAGAACGATACCCGCACCTTTGACTTTATTTTCTGACAGAATAAGGTAAGATCTTTGCTGTGAAGTGCATTTTACCTGTGATTTTTGTACCGCTTTGGAGATTTTAGCTTTTACTTTGGAAGAATTTGTCAAAAAAAAAAAAAAAAAACGCAAAGGGGGCTTGTGTTTGATGTTATTAATTTAATTTAATTTTGCGTCAAGTTATTCCATATTCCGTCATAGGACAAGCCAACTGCAGCTAAATCCATTGTACTATGTAGAATTTCGCGATATTTATCCGTTACGAAGAAGCGCGGCTTTTAAAATCACCGAATTTCGGCTATGGAATAAGGTTGAAAAAGCGCTCTCAGACAGGAAAGAAGTTTTGTGCTGTAGCGAAGCCCAGAAAAGAATTTTGAAAAAAATTAGTTCGATTTTAATCATTCCTCATTAAGTCCTTTTCACCCACAAAAAACAAAGGGAAGGTTTACTGGCGATCCCAAACTCGCCGGACCGCTCTTAGGTGGATAGCCACTTAAATAAAAACGTGAGTCAACCGTTCCGGCCAAATTCAAGCGAGAAATGATGATACAATAGCCTAAATACTGTATTCAATATATACTGTGTGGCATTTCGCCACCCCATTTTTAGTTTTCTTTTCTTTCCTGGACTCGACAATGAGTGGTCACGTGACACAGATATCTACCGGTTTTATCCGAGGTTGCCAAATTTTGTAAGGTTCTGATAAATTTTCACAAAGTTATGACCATTATAAGATTTTATGCAAATTAGCCTCAGGCCATGCCTTAATATGCTTGAGTCTGTCCGAGGACCCTCAAGCGACGATGAAATGTGATCTTCATGCAAGATATAATAAGGCAAGTGCTTAGCTCCTCGTGCGTTCAAAATAATTTGTGGACTTCCCACTTTCGAGTTTATAACCTCCTCTTTTCAAAACAAATTATCTATAGAAAGTTCCCTCTTTCTTAAACTTAATTGTAATATATTCCTATACATAATTATTCGCGTTCTACTGATAGGTTTTCTTTATAGTCTTAAATCATTATGTATGTATTTTTATTTTATTCGCGCATTATTGTAAAAACTAATATAATGTACATTTGGTATTTGTAGCTATACATGAGCAGGAGATCTCAGCAAGCTCTGCTGAGCCTTTCAGAGGAGATTCCCAACTTTACTTATCAATTTAATTACTAAAATATTGTTTGCCACTTAATATTACAATATAAACTCTATCGAATTTTTAATGAAATGATGCAAGCTTATCAATGTTAGGAATTTTAATGTACTGTCACATGCCTTTCAACCTTTTAGACGTTCTTTTAATTCTTCCAATAAACAGAACTCATGATCATTTACTTCAACAAGTTAACTGCTTTTAAATGTAAGTAGCTTTATTCTGATGATCCGGGTAACCGAAATCTTTCGTAACTTTGTATTCCTGGGTAAGTCCATTTAACCGAAACAGAATGTTTCGTGGAATCACAGCTACGATAGCATCAGCTTAATTTACAATTTTAAATGACACCTGACCAGACCACAGAGTCGTTACGTATAAGAAAAAGCTTTACATTTTGAAGAAAACCTTATTGTATTCGTAGCTATTTCTTAAGCCAAAAGCTTATTATTATTAACGTTTCTAACTGGCTTCCTTATTTTTTTATTTAAGATTAACTCTATTTCCGTAGAACTATTTGCTAATTATTCTGGTCTTGTTTTTTTACCTGTTTATGTTTTAGAAAAGACCCAAATGGGCACTGTTCAAGAAGCTATTCACCATGGCATAATTGCCGCCGATTTTCTTTGGACCACTAAACGAGTTGTCCAGGCTATCGAGCTGTGGAACGAGTGCTTAACACTACTAAACAACAAAATCTTAGAAAACGAACATGAACTTGCCACAATAGTGCGTATAGCGCTGAACAAGAGGCTGTTTTATGGAAATGCTGCTATTACGAAACTTTCACCAGCTATAGAATCTGGCAAAAAGCTTTTAGTCCTTCTTCGTAATCTTAGGAGAAAAAAAAAAGAAGGTAACACAGCCTTGATGTTATCAAAACTGTACTTTCAAAAAAGTGAATACCAGGAAGCACAAGCAGTCCTCAAAATTGCACTCTGCGTTTACAAAGAAATCGAAGACAAAGTCGGAGAAGCGACATGCTACGTAAACCTAGGAAATGTGTTTCAATCTGTCGGAGAATATGCCAAGGCTGAAGAATATCTTCATAAAGCACTTACCATCGACACAGAAATTGGCGACAGAAACGGAGAAGCGTCATGCTACGGAAACCTAGGAAGTGTGTTTCTATCTGTCGGAGAATATGCCAAGGCTGAAGAATATCTTCATAAAGCACTTACCATCAAGACAGAAATTGGCGACAGAAACGGAGAAGCGACATGCTACGGAAACCTAGGAAATGTGTTTCAATCTGTCGGAGAATATGCCAAGGCTGAAGAATATCTTCATAAAGCACTTACCATCAAGACAGAAATTGGCGACAGAAACGGAGAAGCGTCATGCTACGGAAACCTAGGAAATGTGTTTCAATCTGTCGGAGAATATGCCAAGGCTGAAGAATATCTTCATAAAGCACTTACCATCAAGACAGAAATTGGCGACAGAAACGGAGAAGCGACATCCTACGTAAACCTAGGAAATGTGTTTCGATCTGTCGGAGAATACGCCAAGGCTGAAGAATATCTTCATAAAGCACTTACCATCAAGGCAGAAATTGGCGACAGAAAAGGAGAAGCAACATGCTACGGAAACCTAGGAAATGTGTTTAAATCTGTCGGAGAATATGCCAAGGCTGAAGAATATCTTCATAAAGCACTTACCATCGACACAGAAATTGGCGACAGAAACGGAGAAGCGTCATGCTACGTAAACCTAGGAAATGTGTTTCAATCTGTCGGAGAATATGCCAAGGCTGAAGAATATCTTCATAAAGCACTTACCATCAAGACAGAAATTGGCGACAGAAACGGAGAAGCGACATGCTACGGAAACCTAGGAAATGTGTTTCATTCTGTCGGAGAATATGCCAAGGCTGAAGAATATCTTCATAAAGCACTTACCATCAAGACAGAAATTGGCGACAGAAACGGAGAAGCGTCATGCTACGTAAACCTAGGAAATGTGTTTCAATCTGTCGGAGAATATGCCAAGGCTGAAGAATATCTTCATAAAGCACTTACCATCAAGACAGAAATTGGCGACAGAAACGGAGAAGCGACATGCTACGTAAACCTAGGAAATGTGTTTCAATCTGTCGGAGAATATGCCAAGGCTGAAGAATATCTTCATAAAGCACTTACCATCAAGACAGAAATTGGCAACAGAAATGGAGAAGCGTCATGCTACGTAAACCTAGGAAATGTGTTTCGATCTGTCGGAGAATATGCCAAGGCTAAAGAATATGTTCATAAAGCACTTACCATCATGACAGAAATTGGCGACAGAAACGGAGAAGCGTCATGCTACGTAAACCTAGCAGCTGGGTTTCTATCTGTCGGAGAATATGCCAAGGCTGAAGAATATCTTCATGAAGCACTTACCATCAAGACAGAAATTGGCGACAGAAACGGAGAAGCGACATGCTACGGAAGCCTAGCAGCTGGGTTTCTATCTGTCGGAGAATATGCCAAGGCTGAAGAATATCTTCATAAAGCACTTACCATCAGGACAGAAATTGGCGACAGAAACGGAGAAGCGACATGCTACGTAAACCTAGGAAATGTGTTTCAATCTGTCGGAGAATATGCCAAGGCTGAAGAATATCTTCATAAAGCACTTACCATCAAGACAGAAATTGGCGACAGAAACGGAGAAGCGACATGCTACGTAAACCTAGGAATTGTGTTGCAATCTGTCGGAGAATATGCCAAGGCTGAAGAATATCTTCATAAAGCACTTACCATCAACACAGAAATTGGCGACAGAAACGGAGAAGCGACATGCTACGTAAACCTAGGAATTGTGTTTCAATCTGTCGGAGAATATGCCAAGGCTGAAGAATATCTTCATAAAGCACTTACCATCAACACAGAAATTGGCGACAGAAACGGAGAAGCGTCATGCTACGGAAACCTAGGAAATGTGTTTCAATCTGTCGGAGAATATGCCAAGGCTGAAGAATATCTTCATAAAGCACTTACCATCAACACAGAAATTGGCGACAGAAACGGAGAAGCGTTATGCTACGGACACCTAGGAGCTCTGTTTGTACATGTAGGAGAATATGGCAACGCTGAAGAAAATCTTCATACAGCACTTACCACCAACACAGAAATTGGCGACAAACACGGAGAAGCGTCTCGCTACCTAAAGCTAGGAAACACATCTCAAGCCTTATCGGATCTCTGGTCAAGCATTCAAATTTACGAAAAAATGCTTACTTCTCTAGGAAGCAAAGATAGCCACAATATATCATTTTTTGACAAGAACGCGTCTCCCTATCGGCTGTTTTGTTCATTGAGTTGTTTTTGTGGGAAACCCTATCAAGCTTTACACGCTGCTGAACTTGGACGGGCCAGAGCTCTAGCAGAACTTATGTCAAATCGCTACTCCATTGAAAAAGAAATATCCATCAACCCACAATCGTTTGTTGGCATCGCGGAAGTAATTAAGAAAATGGCAACAGCACCTGCCTCTACATCTCCTATGACTACGATGACAATATATTTTTGTGGGTTTTGAAACAAAACAAACCGGTAGCTTTCCGAAGAACGAAACTTTGTGAAAGCTATGTTAGCAAGCATGGCAAAATCTCTGTGTATGACCTGTTTGGAAACGAAAGCTTATTAAGAAAATTTCACGTTTTACCTCAAGAGCAATGCGAAGACCGATCACTCTTCTCTTCATTCGCCAACCAACTTACAAACGAATCAAATCTGGAAGATAGTCTCTCAACCTTGCGTCCTCTTTTAGATGAGGGAGAAGTATACACGGACCATGAACCGCCAACACTTTTTCAGGTTTACAACATGTTGATTGCTCCCGTGTGAGTGACTTGCTAGAAGGATCTGAAATCATTGTTGTTCCTGATCGCTGCTTCTTCCAAGTTCCGTTTGCAGCATTACACGATGAAAGTAGCCGCTATTTATCAGATTCTTTCAGGATACGAATTGTCCCTTCTTTGACGACTCTCAAGCTCATTCTGGACAGTCCAGCCGACTCTCACAGCGAAACTGGTGCATTGATTGTGGGTGAGCCAAGAGTGACGGATGTGTATTTCAAGGAGTGTTAAGGTATCTCTGTCCATTGCCTGGCGCGAAAGGGGAAGCAGAGATGATTGCGAGACTACTACCTGAATCTCACCTTTTAATAGGAGAGCAAGCAACAAAGCAGGCGGTTCTTCAGAGAATACCCTCAGTGAGCCTCGTACATTTCGCTGCTCATGGTGATGCCGAAAGAGGAGAAATTGCTCTTACCCCGCTGACTCCACAGTGGAGTTTCCACACGAAGCAGACTACTTACTGTCAATGACCGACATTTCACAAGTTAGACTGTCAGCCAAACTGGTGGTCCTTAGTTGTTGCCATACCGCACGTGGACAGATCAAAACAGAGGGCGTTGTTGGAATCGCTCGAGCATTCTTAGGATCGGGTGCACGCTCAGTGTTGGTGGCATTGTGGGCCTTACAAGACAGAGCAACAGAGGAGTTCATGGGAAGATTCTACGAAAACCTTGTCCAAGGGAAAAGTGCAAGCGAAAGTCTTCACCGGGCCATGAAGTGGATGCGAAATAACGGTTTCTCAGAAGTGAGGCAGTGGGCACCTTTCATGCTGATTGGGGATGACGTGTCATTTCACTTTGGTGAAGAAAAGTGAAGGTAATTGTTTCCTGACAATTAGAGCCATAGGAAATCTGTCAGGTCTTTTTGTATTACAGTTTTATCAACTTGGGTGCATTTGGTACTTTTAAGTACCAAATAGAAAGCAGTATTTACCCTTAAAAGCCACATTATTGACTACATCTGAAGTTAGCTTTTACTATGACTGAGGTAAAATATCAATTAACCGCTTAATGTTAAAACATTCGACCACACCTCTGTACTTATCAGTCAACCCGTGCATATGCGGGACTTTGCATTCGAAAAAAAAAAAAAAAACACTAAGCCCCGAATCCCTACAACAACACAGAATGATTTAATTCTTTTCTCTCTTTTCTGATATATGAGGCACAAATAATTCAATATTCTTTTATTTGCTACGGTTCAATATGATCGTGAGGGTTTGCTGACAAACTTTTTTCTTTCTGAATATAATAGGAAGAGAATTCCAGTTATGAATCCGAACCAAACAGCCCAGGGAAGGTTTTTGTTTGATATAAAGATAATCGGATCAAAAATATTATGGCGGAGATCTAGATCTCAGAATTGATCGAAAACACTACAAAGTACAAATTATGGACTGTGTATGGAGTCTTGACCGTAACTAGAGGGCTTTTCGCTGACACTGACTGAATTACAGAAGTACACTGGTTCTAAACTTGGACCAAAGAGGGAAGACCGAGATTCCATAGGTCATCAAGGCAAGAAGTTTCAAACCTATTTTAGCTGTGCACCCTACATTTCATTTGTGATGCCAATTGATTGGAAAGTTTTAGCGGTGAGATAAACTCAAATAAGTAAACCTCTTCCGCCACGATAAAGCCGGAGGATCCCTCCTCCATGTAAAATGAACCTAAATGCCACTTAGCCCAGCTGGAGTCTTTTGTGTTGAGTAGATGTGTTTTATTAATTTTTATGTTTCTTATACATTACTGTTGCAGGTATTACACTAACGACACACCATGGAATAACGAAACAGCCCTTCCGCAGAATTCCAATGAGGTAGTCCCTGGCGGATAATGTAAAGGATCAATCTCTGCAGCATACGAACATTGATTAAAAGAATTACTGTGAAAGAGAACTGACTTGCTTGGCCCAGCGGTTTATCTTTGCCGGCTTAATTATTTTTCCCACTAATCTTATTTTGTGTGTGTGTGTAGGTACCTTGAGTACTCTAATCTCTAAAATGTCTTGAAAAGCTCAAATCACCAACTTTGTACATGTAGAAGTGTACATCGGTAGCTCGGACAATGATAAAATTGTAATTGTGACACGAATAACGTCAGGATTAGCTAATTTCCCTGTCTTTTTAGGTAATTTGCAAAAAAACCCTACTTCCTTAATTAGTCCCTAAGGCTACAAATAAAAAATACTTTTTATGTAAACGAGATTTTCTTTATCGCAAATTGAAGTTTTATTACAATGCAAACAACATTGCAAGGTTTATAGTTTAGTAGAATTGTATATATTTTAGAGCCAATCTTTTTGTGAACATAGAAGCAGTAGTTTTGCAACCTTGCATTATGAAATAAGATTTGACGACTCAATTTAGTCAAATAAAAGCCTTATGAAACCAACTTGTCCTAACTCCAAACTAGCCCAGTTGTAAACTAAAGGTTATTTCATTGTATAATGTTCATGCCTGAGCATAGGTTAGTATGTTAGTATAGAAGACCAGTATTTGCTTTAAGTATGATGCAAAGATTTGGTGGTCCAGTTTTCAGTAGTGCTTTGAGTAGGAAAACTAATTTTAGTAGTTCGAACAGCATGTCGCGTATCCGAGAAGGTCGCACATGGAGGTTTGATTGTAATCTGTAAATAATCTCACCAAGTTTCTTAAAATAAAGCGTATTGACATAGCAAATTCGTGTTTATCCTTAATTATCTATTTGCTCTTTAACAAAAAATATTTCCTACAATATCGGAGAGATTTAGAATCCATTCAGGTCAAACGGCAACGTCAATTTTACGTGACCAAAGTATCATTCTAAAAAATAAATAACTAAAATTGTAATTTGTAATTTGTTTTCCCACGGAGCACTTAGAAGTTATTAAGAACTCGCTTAAACGAGTCCGTGCGTTGCTTGCGGATCGAATTGGAATTTGGAAAGGTTGGTTTTTGGAGAGAGGGAAAACAAGAGCACCCTAAGAAAAACCTATCGGCAAGGAAGAGAACCAACAACAAACCTATCCTTTCATATACCTGAAGCATGAAAAAGGTACCCCTTTCGGTCGGAGCCTCACCATAAAAGGCCATTATAGGATTTCCACCCCCACCCGGGGAAGCGAGGCAAGAGCCCTCACCACTGCACCACCCTTGCGCAGTTTTCGTCAGAAGCCGATTCAGTTGTTGTATCTGCACAAAAAGTTAGTAGTTTCATGTCGATCAGTCTAATCCATAACAATTATTTTGCAAAGTTTGTACCTGTTCATTTCCTAACTCAAGAAATCGAAAATGTCACCTTGGGTCTGAATGTTTGCCGTTTGCCGTGACTCTCGATTTTCCTTTCAACGACTGGAATCCATAAATTTGGTCTCATAAAAGTTACTGCCACTATCACTCCCGTCGATTCGGAATCGTAGAATTACGTTGACGACAAAGTCGAAACATCATGTTCAAGTATTACAATTACTCAAGTTAGGAAATCAACAATCAACAGATAAAAACTGAGAAAATTAAATTATCCTTACGGATAAACCTGACATGAATGTCTTTATTTTGGGGTAGTAAAGATAAACATTTAATGACAAATAAAAAGAAAGCTTAGCAACATGTTTCCAAATGGCGTTAACTGTAAACGTGATTCTAAATCTCTAGACGCCTGCGTTCGCATCGAAGTTCTCCAACGAACCAATGGGGCAGGAATGGTAACAATTCTTTTCGGTCCGTTTTACCATCCCTGCTTTACTTCCAAAAATCACTAGCTGATCCTTTTTTTTAACTACCGTTCAGCCTTTGCACAGATACCAGGAAATAAATTTAAGACTTTTCAAGACTTTTTTCCAAAACAATAATTTCTTTTACCAGACTCAAGATTATCAAATAGGTAAGTGATCAACAGAGACCTTAAAAAAACGCAGGAACAAAGATTTTTTCATGATAGGCTGCAAACAAACGGGCGAAATTAAATAAGATTTGACCAAACCGAAAAACATTTCACTCATCAAGCACTATATGTTGTAGCTTTGAAAAAAAAACTCAAGATTTTTTTTACTATTTTTTCAGACTTCATCTCCATGTTCGAGACTTTTTTCAGGTCTGGAAAATTTCTGAAAATTGATGCTCTGTACGATCCCTGAGTGTTGTACAAGGTATTTCACTCCATAACTTGCACGTGTACACCACCGTTCAGAGAGCTACTTCGGGTCCCATCGGCGATGGATTTTGATTTTCGTCACTATCCAGATCTTGGTAGTACTTCTGATTGGTGAAGGCAAATTTTTAACCAATCAGAAGAGTACTACCCAGATCTGGGTAGTGACACGTCATCAGTATGGAATTTCTGCGCTCGTTTCTCAGACGTCATTTCGCGGGGAAACCAGTGGTGGCGTCGCGAAATGTTGGTTGTTTTCTCAGGCTAAGTTGGGTCAGTTACGAGTGGAAATGCCATGACATTTGATGCGCGTATCATGGCAGAAAGGCTCTACGTACGCGTGAAAGAAATTAAAGTAAGGTGATTATTGGCCTCAACCAAGTGCACAAAACCTTTTAGCCAGGCAGGAATGAGGGAAGCTTCATTAGAGATTGAGCTTTTTGCCAGGGTGCCGAAAACTTGAATGAACACTGGCTTACAGGAGCTGGCACGAAAGAGAGAGAGCCGCCACCAAAGTGAGTAAAACATAAAATAAAGCTTCGAAACACTAAGATAAGGAATGAAAACACAGCAAATCTCTGACAAAAGAGGCATGGATGGACAAACATGAAGTAGATTGAAACGGATTATAATTGTGGTTTTTCAAAACAGTTTTTCAAAGCTCGTTTTTGTTGTTTGCAACGTTTGATATGCATAATGCTTTGGGGAGATATTTCATTGTTTGATACGAAGCTGTGAACTTGTCATTTTCAGGGAAAATCCTGGCTATAACGTAATGTGTACGAACTCACGAAAAGAACTCAGGAGAAACTGTTCGCCGATTGGGCACAATAATACAAAGCATTTTTTGTACCCAATC